GAAGTCTATCAGTCCTCCATTGAATTGATTGTTCATCTTTATCAAATTGGGGGGACGTATTTGTGTCAATCTATTTCTGTGTTCTCTATTCTCTTCCACTGATCTCTGTGTCTCTCTCCACCAATACCACATACTCTTGATTACTGAGCCTATATTAGGCTCAAAATAAGGTGCACCTGATGCCTTTACTCTTGTTCAATTTATTTTGACTCTTCTACTTTCACTACCTTTCCATATAAATTTTAGAATCTCTTGATAACTACAGCAAAATTTGCAGGTTCAAATGGCTTTAAACATATTTTCCTAAAAGTAGATATCTTGTTACTTATTTCAGTAATTCAGCTATTATAACATTAGGTAGGAACCTAGATTATTGATCTGATACTTTTCTTCTTTCCCAATGTATTCATTTAGTGTTACAAATTTTCTCCTCTGTATTACTTTAGCTGCAGCCCACAAATTTTCATGTGTTATATTCTTATTTTAATTCAATTCAGTATATTATTTTTACTTCACCAGGACTTCTGTTTTGACCCATAGGTTATTCTAAATTATTGCGTTTAGTTTCCAGATATTTGAATAGTTTCTTGTTATCATTCTGTTACTCATTTCTCACTTGGTTCCATTATAATCAGAGAACACACTTGGGATGATTCTAATCCTTTCATATTTATTGAGATTAATTTTATGGCTAATTTCATTATATGGTCCATCTTAGTACATGATCCATGGGCAGTGGATAAAAATGTGTATTCTATGGTGTTGGATGCAGTATTATAAAGATGTTATTTAGATCCTATTGGCTGATGATGTGATTGAGTTAATCTATATCTTTAGGGATTTTCTGTCTATTTTTTAAATCAATTATTGAAAGTGAGGTATTAGAATTTCCAACAATAATCTTGGATTTTCCTATTTTTCCTTTTTTGTAGGTCTATTATTTGGTACACATACATTTAGGAGTGCTTCATCTTCTAGGTGGATTGATCCTTTTATCATATGATAAAGTCCTCTGTGCCTCCAGTAACTTTTTTGGCTCTAAAGTCTACTTTGTTTGACATTAGTATAGCCATTCCTACTTTTTCTTGACTGATGCATACATGGTATTTTTTTCAGCCTTTACTTTCAACTGCCTATATCATCATATTGGAAATGAGTTTCTTATAGATAATATATAGTTGGGTCACATATTTAACCTATTTGTCCAATCCCTCTCTTTCAATTATTTAAACCATTTATACTTAATGCAGTTACTTATATGATAGGGTTTAAGTATCTTATTTTATTTTTGCTCTTTTTTTCTCTATTTACTCTTACATACCTTCCTAACAATAATTAATATTTTTTGGAATTCTACTTTGATTTATCTATGGTATTTTTTGAGTGAATCTTTTTGTACACATTTTTCAGTCACTGCTTTCAGTAGTAGATTATATATACTAATTTATCACAGCCTACTGGCATGGTCACTGCAAGTATAGTAACACAGAGAAACCTTATTTCCTATTGATCATCATGTTCAGTAAGATAAGCCAACTCAAAAAAAAATACCATGTTTTCAATCATATGTGAAATCTAGACCTAAAATAATGATAATAATGGGATATGAGCATAAAAGATAGACTGTCTAGGGGGGATCAGGAGATGGTGGGATGGGGCAAAGGAGAGGGTACTGGAGATGAACATGATCAAAGTATATTATATATATACATGAAGATAACATAAGAAAACCCACTAAATAGTGTATGAATGAGGGGGAAGAGGGATGGAGTTAAGGGAGTAAAACAGAGGGGAGAACATGATCAAAGTACATTGAATGCATTTATGGAAATACCACAATGGAACTTCTCTGTGCAATTAATGTACACTACTAAAAAATTTTAATTATAAAAAATTTTTTAAAGAAAACTCATTTCCTGTTTTGTCCATTTGACTTTCCCTATCTATAGTTCTCTTTAGTATTTTCTCTTCATACATTTGTAACCATATCAGACAGTGTCATACTTTTAGCATCAACTACCAAACATAATCTAGAAATCTCCAGAGAAGGAAGTCTGTGGTTTCTAGCCTTGCTTTGTTTGTTGTGTTCTTCCTTCCTTCCTCTTGCTCCAAACTCATTTCCTTTTTTTTGTTTGTTTTTTTAACAGCACATCCTTTAATCATACTTTTAGGGTAGGATTGCAGTTGTCACATTCTCTTAGTTCTCCTTCATCTGAGAATATCTTTATTTTCCTTTCATTTCACTAGAAATAGAATTCTAAATGGATAATTCATTCTTGGCACTTGAAAAATGTGATTACACCTGACTTGCATGGTTTCTGATGAGAACCCTATTGTCATTCAAATGTAATGTGTTGTTTCTTTCTTCACTGCTTTTAAGATTTTTTTTCTTTCACTTTAATTTCCAGAAGTATTACTATTATATGTTTTGGCATCAATTTCTTTGGTTTAGGATTCACTCATCTTCTTAAATCTATAGGTTTATATCTCTTGCCAAATTTGGGGGGAGAGGTAGCCATTATTTCTCTGAGAAGTTTTTCAGTCCTGCCTTCTTTTTCATCTCCTTCCAGGACTGTGATGACAAGAAGATTACATCTTCTCTTATGGTTCCACAGATCCCTGAGGTTCTATCACATTTTTTTCTCAGTGTAGTCTCTATGTTGCTCAGCTCAGCTAAGTTCTATCCTCAAGTTCAGTGACTCTGTCCTCTAGCCTCTCCGTTCAGCGGCTGAATTTATCCATTGGGTTTCTATTTCAGTTATTGTTTTTGTTTTTGTTTTTTTCCAGCTTGAATTTTTATCTTTGATTCTTCTGAGACCTTTTGCTTCTCTGTTAAGACTTTGTTCTTCTTTTAGTGGCACTGGGATTTAAACTCAGGGCCTCATGTTTAGTAGGGAAACGCGATACCACTTGAGTCATTCTGCCAACCCCAAGACTTCGTATTTTTTTCATTTGTTCCAAATACTTTTATAATTGCTCAATGAAGCATTTTTGAAGGCTGTTTTAAAATCTTTGTCCTGTTCTATTATCTCTGTCATCTCAATGTCAGCATCTATTGTCTTTTTTTTTCTTTCAAATTGAAATGTTGGTTCTTGGAATGACAAGTGATTTTCTACAGAAACCTAAGCTTTTGAAATTTATTTAATCTGTTTAAACTGGCTTCCTCTGATACTACTCTTAACAGTATTAGGTAGAGAACAGACCAGGTAAGAGTAAAATTCCATTCTACCTCCAATGTCACCAGGGTGTGGGTCTCCTTGTCACTGTTGGGTGGGAGTAGTGGTTCTGGTTCCAACTAGGCTTCTGTTGACACCTTCTTGGTTGAAAGGAATGGGAGTATCTCACTACTGTCCCCCTGTGGTCTCCAGGAGCACACAGAGAGTATGGAAAGCATGGCCTCCTTACAGTTGGGCAGTGTTGAAAGTTTGAACGCTCCACTGACACCACCCCTTCTAAAAATGGTAATGGAATCACCAAAAAAGCATTAAAAAGACAGATGAATATTTGTGGAAGAAGGACAGAATTCATCATTCCAATATTCATTATTTATGATACTCTGTCTTCATATATCCCTAATTCCCTCAGTCCCTAAAAATGTATTATTTCTCCTGGGCCCCTGCTGTAAGATCTAACTTTCCTCAGTGGCACAGGATTTCTAGGCCAGTTTCTAATACTGGCCCCTGTTCATATCAATACTTTGACTATGCCATAAAGTGTAAGGCCCATCTCACACAGCCAGTCAGGTCTTCTCTTTGCTAAAGCCCTTCTATGGAGCTTCCCTGATTCCTTTTTCAATATTAGACTTGCAGAAACCTTAACTAGAAATACCCAATTTGAAATGGCCCAAGCAGTCACACTTACGTATTCAGTAAGTGAAGGGAGGCGTGGATTGTAATTCAGAATATTTGTCATACTCTGCCCTCAAACACTAGGTCAAAGACAACACTGAAGCAACTCTAGCTCACAGGTGTTTTGTTTCCCTTTATGGTGACATTCCTTAAAGCACAGCCAAGAGTGTGTTCTGGGGCTGAAAGTATTTTAAAAACATAATGTGGCCATGGTATTCTGAATACTAACAAGACATTTGGAGCTGCAGCCAAAAGCACTAACAGAATCTTCCCTCTTACTGTCATTCTTTAAAGTCTCTTCCCTCCCCCTCTCCTCCCTCCCCCCTTCCCCCCACCCCTTTCTCAGGTTCAAGTCCTCTACTTACTATCTTTGCTTTCAGTGTCCCCACAAGAGCAAAGTCTACACAATGGACAAAATATCTTAGACTTAAATATGACCCTATCTACTTTTGCTTCCTATGGGGACATTTCATAGTAAACGAATGACCTTCCTGAACCTGATTACAACCAAGTGTCTGGGGTGCGACTGCCTGAGGTGGAATCCAGCTCTACCAGGCACTGGTTGTGGGACACTGGGCCAATTCTTTAGCCTCACTAAAGCTAGAAGCCTTCCTACATAAAACTGGATTTTTATGTTGATACCTTTCTACTTGGTGTGTTTGTTGGGACAAAAACACATAAAATGTGTCCCACAGAAAGCTCTTCTGTCTATAAGGCCTAGGAAATATTTGTTACATCAATATGCACTGAAATACGTATAATGAAATATTTTATTTTTCATGTAATCAGATAATAGAATGTGGAGCAGTTTTTGATTTTTTGTTTTGTTTTGTTTTGTTTTTGAAGTTTCAGCAAGGATTTATTTCACTATAACACGATAAAGTAAAGGAGAAACATTTGCTACTCCTCACGAAGGAAATGGGAATAATCTCCTTCCTGCTACCTGCCACTTCACCCTGTCATTGAGCTCATTGTACATATGAATACTACCTCTATCTCAGCACTTATTTTTATGTCCATCCACCACAAAGACTACAAGTTCCCCAAAGGTTGTGATTATGTTTTATTCATCTGTATAATCCAGTCCCATTTTTTAATGGAACCTAAATTTACTTTCACCCAGGATGCGCATTACTCCTCTGGTTCACCTACTTCCATTTTGATGTCGTAGTTCTGGCCCAGGACACTCTGAATGAGCTCTTTGATAGTCTGGTCGAAGGCCAGCTGAGCCTCGGACTGCAGCGAGGCGATGATCTCCTCGATGGACTTGGGCATCGCTCGGGCGGGCTGCGGGGACCGCCGCTCGGACTCGCGCGACTCGCTGGGCCGGCCACCTTCGCGCACGGCTTTGGGAACAGAGGCCCGCGCCTCGCCGGAGCCCTGGCGCACAAAGTGGGTGCGGATCCTCGTTGCTTGCTGCTGCGAGCTCGGGTCCACGTCGCCGTCCCCACTGGAGATGGAGCTGGTCTTCCTGTCCTTGGGCCTGAGCCCCTCCGACGCCGGGGGCGGGTCCTGGCTCGCCTGGTGCCCGCCGGCCACGTGGAGGACCCGCCTGGGCGCTGCGGGCCGCGCGCTACCCGGGTCCCGGCGCGCTCTGGGCTTCACGGGTGGCACGGGTGGCGGCAGCAGGACCACGGGTCTGGCCGTGCCGACCCCTGGGGCGATGACCGGTGGCTTCTTCGGCGGCCCCTGTCGTAGGAAGGCGGAGCTCGTCATGTAAAAGTCCTGGGGGCGAAAGGAGCGGGTCTTCTCCGGAGCGGCCGCCGGGCCTCGGAGCGCCTTCTGCAGCCGGGCCGCCGCGGAGGTCGCAGGGCCCCTCGCCGGAGGGGTCCCTTTGGGCCGTAGGCGCCCAGCCTTCTCCTCATGGCGGGTCGGGCCGGGGTCCTCCGGGCCGTGATCAGAGCTTTCATCCAAAGTCGGCTTGGAGGCCCACTTCTGCTTGAATCGGAGAAAATCCTTCCTGGTCTCCTGGCGAACTTTCTCAAGCTCTTGAAACATGTAGGATTCTTCTTTGGGTTTCAATCCGAAGTGCTTGGGAACCTTGGACATCTCGACAAATTTGACCTGTAAAATAACCCCCCAAAATTACATAAATACATTATATGTAAATATATACAAAACACAAACTTTTGTTAATAAAATTCCAGCTTGGCAAAGCTTCTCATGATTGAACCTCATTGTGCTCAAATAATTTTATATCCAACTATTGGCCTTTTTACATGAACCATGGAAACCCTCTAAGTAGTCTTTTTTTTTTTTCAGTGGGAGTTTCCCAAATAGGCCCTATTGGGTCTATTGTAACATTTCTTTAAACGAAAATGTGTCCCACTTCCAGGCAAGAAAGACTCCACTAGGCATAGGCATCGAAAACTGCCAACAGGGACGAGAGATCTAACTCTGGCCTGGACAGCTGACAAGTTTAAACTGGAAGATTTTCACATTAAGAATCCAGACTTGCAGCTTCTCTGGGGGGAAAAAAGTGATGGCTCTGGCAATGCAAGAGCCGAATCCCTGCCAGGTGGCTGTTGCCCCTTCCTCTTTTGCTGGCCCCAGGAGTCTTGTCTCCTCCCTTGCCCAGCCCACTTTCCTCAAAGTGTCATCTGAAATAGGGCAGAGTGCAAAATGGCAGAGAGGAGGTCATCCTTAAGGTAGGCTGCAGTCAGATTATAAGGCCTTTAAAGCTATATGTTTGTTCTCTTTCTGTAAGCTACTACCGGAAACCACTTCAAAATTTTAGCAGAAAAGAGGCTCAATGGGATCTAGTGCTTAGGGGATATTAATATTAAGTAGAGGAAAGAATGAAGGCAGAAAGGGCACTAAGAGCCTTGGTAATAGAGCAGAGTGAGAACAGAAACCTAACAAGGCAAAACTGATGACAGGACCTGGCCAATGACCAAGAAAAAAATGGGAAAACGAAAGCGCCTTCATAAAATAAGGACTTTGAGCATTCGAACGCTTGCCTAGCTTATGCAGGCCCTGAGTTCAACCTCCAAAGCTGCCCCAAAAGGGGAAGGACCTTTGAGTGACCTTGATAATGTCTTGGTCATCATCAAACACGTTATAAAATGTGTTATTCACTGAACTGTACATTTCAAAATGGTTAAGAAGTTATACTTTATGTACTATATTTACCATAATTTTAAAAACACACCAATTTCTGTTACTCAGGACCAGCTGTTTATGATCATAAGTGGAGTTTGAGATCTTCGAAGTTCTGAGATCATTACAGAAAGCTGTGAGGAACTACACATAGAGAAGGAACCAATGACAGATTCTGTGGCTTACTTATCTGTACAAAGTGAAGGAGCAAGAACAACCAGAGAGTTAGGGAAATTAGGAGAACGGGGTTCCTCCCAAAGCCACGAAGAGCATTTCAAGAAAAAGGAGTGAAACAATGAAAAAACAGGAAATAATGAATCAGAAAAGTAATTTTAAGCCAGGCATGGTAGCTCAAATCTATAGTCCCAGCACTTGAGAGGCAGAGGCAGGAGAATCATGAGGTTAAGGCCAGCCTGGGCTGTGTAGCAAGACCCTGACTCAAAAAAAAAATTTTTTTTTTCTTTTAAATAACCAAGGCCAAGATTCTTTGAAAAACAATAAAATAATAAAGCAGAAACACTTTCAGAATATCATTATTTACCTGGAAAACCCAGGCATTAGAACTATAATAGAATTTTGCAAATGATTTGAATTTTTAAAATACATGTATATTTTTAAATATACATATATTTTATTGTATGTATGTAATATACAATAAATAGCTTCCTTTACAAAATGGCCCAATTAAAAACATGATAAAATTTTATTTATAATTTTTAAAAGAGTAAGTAGAAATGAACAGAACGAGAATTGTACTACAGCTACATAAGTAAAATTTTTTTAATTTTACTAAGGGATGCAAAAGACAACTAAATAGATAGTCAATGTTCTTTGGAGGAAAAGACTAAATAATTTATTATATCAGGTCTTCCCAGAACACTGTATTGGTTTAATACCAATACAAAAGTCTAAAAATGGTTCTTTGTAGTGTAAAAAGTAATTCTGCATTCATTTGAAATGATAAGCAGTATAAATTACCCAAAAATTTGAGAACAGAAAATCAGAGAGTACTTGTCCCTCAATGAACGAATAACCAAAAAATTAAAACTTGCATAGATATAAGAAATAGAACTGAAATACTGGTACTGAAATCAACAGATAAACTGAGACAGACAGGAATAATTTTAAAATAATATGAAGTATATTGTAAAGTCAGCATTTCATTGGTGATGAAAGGAAGAATTATTTAAAAATCATGCAGAGGCCATAAAGAAGAATGAAATTTTGTCATTTGCAGGTAAATGGATGGAACTGGAGAACATCATCTTAAGTGAAGTTAGGAAGGTTCAGAAGGCCAAAGGCCACAGGTCTTCTCTCATATGTGGAATACAGACCCAATACAAATATAAGCAACATTATGAAAAACAGGTCACATTAAGGGGAGGGTAAAAGAAGGAAGTTAAGAAGGTGAATATGGCTGATGCACTCTCTATACAAGAATGAATGTAGAATTTTTAAACCTGTTGAAATCACCATAAGAAGAGGCCTAAGGTTGAAAGGGGAAAAGTAGAGAAGATAAACCAATTTGGGTTATAATACATCTAAACATGGAAATGTCTCAATGAAACACCCTGAACAGCTATCTTAAACAAACAAAAATGTTTTTCTTTTTCAAAAACAGAGAACAGGAAGGCAAAACAGGTTCTGGCTGGGGGATTGGTACCAGTGGGAGGACTAAGGAAATGATGTAGGAGGTGAATATTGTGGAAATATTATGTATTATGTATGTAAATGGAAAAATGAGACCTGTTGGAACTATTCCAGAAATGGGAGATAACGGAGAATGATGGAGGGGATGAATTCAACTACAATATATTATAAGAACTTTTACAAATATCACAATGTACCCCCCAGTACAACAATAATTTTAAAAAAGGAAAACTTAATACAAAATTAGGAAGAAATACTAATAAATATCACAATCTTCTTTTCTGAAAAAAGTCATGCTGAGGCAAATGTTTGATTATTTGGGAAAGAATCTCACCTTGTTTTGTGCCATGCACCAAAATATATCCATATATATTTAAAACTTAAATGCAAGCCAGGCTCTAATGGCTGACACTTAAGCTACTTGGAAGGCTGAGATAGGGAGGATTGCCATTGGAAACCAGCCTGGGCAAATAGCTTGGGAGACCTTATCTCCAAAATAACCAGAGCAAAATGAACTGAAGGTGCAGCTCAAGTCGTAGAGCACCTGAGTCCAAATCCCTGAGTTCAAACCCCAGTTCAATCATTTAAAAAAAAAAAATTTAAATGTGGAAAATATTGTATTTTACTTTGCATTTCTTTGCTTATCACATAGCCACAGTTCTTGGTTGGATTAATACCAATACATAAAAGAGTTTTTACAGTTGGAATTCATTCACCACATAGTTCAGGTTATATGAAGAAAACATCCCTTTTATCCTCCAAATGTAGGCATGTTACTTTTAATTTCTAAAACATGATATGCTGGTTCTCAAACCGAAGACCCTGCTACATGACAGAGCTCCTACCTGAAAAACAATAGGTATTCCTCCTTTACCCAGCCCTTGGACAACACAATTCTGTTCATATTGAAAAGTAAGCATAACCTGTTGTCTGTGGCCCAGGTCTTTGAATATGAACATTAGAAATGAGTTTTAAAATCTTTAAGGAAATTTCCTTGTTTAAAAACTGCTATATAATCCTCCTCATAGTATTTTGGTTCTTATTGTTTGCACAGGTGGCAATACATTCATACAGACATCATCTGCATTTCTTCCTGCAAGAGGTTGAAAGGTAGTAACTGAAACAGAGCACAGAGCAGAAGTACTTCAATACCTGTGAGAGTCTGACTAGCCTCTCCCAATTGCACTTCCTTTTAATTTCTTAGTCCCTGCTTTGGATGCCCTTCCCAACTTCTCTGAGGCCCTTAGTTTGCTAATGAAGTTTAACACAAGTGTCCATTGTTTAACACTTCTCAGTACATTCCCATGAGTTCTTAATAGGAAAGTTGAACTTTGTATTGAAAATAAACCAATGGGAAATTGAACTTAACAAATTTGACAGGAACTTCCATTGTGCTTTCAAAGTGGGGGATATCCCAATGCTTAATGGGCCAACCCACCAAAGCTTGGTGCCTGTATTCCTCCACCCACCTCTCAACACTACAAAATAAATTAATTTTTAAACATCCAATCTTGTGGGAGATTATTATCTCTTATTTCTTGGGAGCAATTTACAAAGAGAGATTGGCTGTAGACTGGATTACTGTATATGAGAGGTGAAATCTGCTGTTCATAATCAAAGTTGAGGGGTTGATGGAGTAGCTCAAGTGTTAGAGCACCTTCCTAATGAGCACTGAGGCCCTGAGTTCAACCATCAGAACCACCAGGGAGAAAAAAAACAAAACAAAACACAATCCAAGTTATAGAATATGCTTAAAATCTTTGGAACCCAAGCAATAGTTGTACTCTGTGCTTTACAAATTTGGAACTCTATCCCTTCTCCTTCCCCTTGACTAGGAGGTTTAAGGCCTGAGTGGAGAGGTGGTTATAAGGCCCAAGAGTCAGCCAGCCAGGTCAGGCACCAGGACCAAGATCCCTCACCGAAAGTGGCTACAGATCTGGGAACATTTCTTTCATGAATTCTCTAGACTTTGGTGCAGGCTACTCTGTGGTTCTTGCAGTTGTAGCTACTTCTCCTATTAGAGTAGCAAATCCAAACCTCTGGTCTAGATCCTAACCAAAGTAGAAATAAATATGACTTGATTCCAGGTTATATGAATCCATTTGACACAGAGAAATGTGTCCTGCATGTTAGTCCCACCTCATTACAGTGTTACATTGGGAGGAGGCCAAAGCCCCAACTAGTAATAAGGATTACATGGCCTTGTCCTCTTCTAATATATGGTCAGCCACCTAGGTAGGAGGGTGACCCAGTAAGAACAGGACTGGGGTTCTCTTAAATCCATAACCAAATGTCTCACTCTTCTTCCC